CAGGCCTCTCTCATCTTTTTAAGTGGGAGAACTTGCACAATTGGTGGCTGACTAAATACTTTTTTGCCCCACTGTACTATGGGGACTATGCAGCAGGCATGTGGTTCTTCTGCATGATTCTGTATGATCAGCCCTTGGGCAACATTTGAAGGACAGGCATTGAGATAAGAAAGCAAAAGTATTTTCTTGTGACAGTTTTGCAAATCTTTTTTTTCATGTAGCAGTCGCTTGGTGACATTTACCTTTCCTGAATGAATGACTCGTACACTTTGCACTTCTTTGAGGATTGTAAATGCATGTTTAATAAGTAAATAAGGCTTCTAGTTAGGATTATGAATTAAAATATCAAATGTAATAATAATTCATTGCCCAATTAATAGTATATTAGAAGATATTGATTAAGCAAACTCATCAGACAACCAAGATAGTTTCTTCTCTGCAAAATGCATGTCAGTAACATAGATTAGTGAAGCTTCCAGTGAGAGTTAGTTATCAACAGTGGCATCCACAGGATCTTACTGCAGAGTTGCAGTGTTGATCCTTTTGGGTCATCATGCAAGTTTTTTGCAGGTAGAAAAGGAGAGGGGATCACACTGCAATGCTGTTTAATGGAGCTTTTGCCAAGAGTACAATGGAGGGCAAGTATGCATAACCCAGAGAGTTGTAGTAGATTTGGGAAATAAATAAAACTGATACAAGCTGGTAGCAAGGAAATTAATTGGATGCTAGGAACCTAGTTGAACAGGTATGAAATTAGGAGTGAACAGTAGACAAAACAGGATCCTCAAATATTAAGGTAAATAAGAAGAAATGAAGACGTATGGATCACAAGAAGAAGTGAGGGGCTTCTTAGCAGATTGCATGGAACCTGCAGGGAAATCTGATCTGGGAACTTCCAGGAAGGAAGAGGCAAGAGATTTCCCTAAGGAATTAAGAAGGAAGAAACAAAACTTAGAAACTGAGGAAAAAGTATAGAAGTTGTGCAGCCTCCATTAAACATTGGCAGACCCACAAGGAGACAAAAAAGAGAAGCAGAAGTTAGCCTGGAAGCAATGAGTAGGAGAAGGAGAAAGAAGAGGAAATGGATAACCTATAAGAGTCAGCCTGAGCAGATAAAGGGGAATCAGGACTTTACAGTAGGACAGGCAGAAAGACTGAGAGCCAGGGAGATAAGAGGCAAAGTTCAAATTAAGGAAGAGACTTATGAGCAAGAGGCAGCTTATAAAAATAAATGGAAATAAGAGACAAGGCTTTAAAGTAAAGGAGAAACAAAAAGACTAGTGTACTGTATCTGAGAATAAAAAATAAAGGAGAGACAGCAAGAGGTTTTGGTAGTTCATTTGGGCAATATGGAGTATGAGGAGCTGAATGTTTCTCCCATGAGAAATGTCTATAGGCATTGGCTGGGGGAGGATAGAAGCCAAGACGGGTGTCTAGTTGTGTCAGCTGTGGGTAGATTGTGGTTGACAGCAGATGGGCCAGAAAGGAGAAGGTTCAAAAATGGCCAGGCGCAAAAGAGTGAGAAACTGTTTTGCAAGGCAGCTGTACTTAACAGAGAAGTGTGGGTGGGAGAATTGAATTGTTTGAATATATGCCATGTTTTTAAACTATACTATCCCTTTAGCAGGAGAGAGAGAGAGAAGTTGTTGTCTCAGTGCATCCCCTCAGGGCTGAGGGATTCATTCTCATTAAGTACAATTGCTACTATTGTTTAAAGTTAGTCTTATATCTGTGAATTTGTAGATTGGAATGAGTTATTGGTTCAGAATGGAAGTAATAAAGCAAACATTATTGTCTGTTCATCACCAAAGTTTTATACTGAATTTGATGAAGAAAGAGTTGCCCCTAAGAGCCTGTACTGGTGGAAAGACTGGTAGCAGGCTCAGTTAAAATGATATTTGAATAGAAGCTAATGGGACCTTGCTTTGGGAAATTCTCAAAGGCATCAGCTTCTGGAACTCAGGACTAGCCATGGTATCAAAACCAGGGCTATCTAGGTGCTATACAGGCTTAAAAACTAATCCAGAGGCAGGCTTGCAAATCCGCTGGAAGGAATGCTAAAACTGTTGCTTTACAACATGGGATTCTTGAAAACTCACTTAATTCATGGTCTGGCAATTTCCAGTGTGAACTATTTGTTAACTGCACTGATAATAGAATTACCAGTTTGTGTCATTCCAGAATTTGCATTTAGTAAAAAATAAAAAAATAAAATAAAGCTAACTGGCAGCATGCATTGGGATTACAATTTATCTATTTGTTTGTTGGATTTATATCCTGCTTTGCCTCCAGGTGCTCATAGCAGCCCATATCTTTCTTGAAACAATTACTCCAGCTCTCACTTTATGTACAAGCAGATCTTTGCATCTAAAGATGTACAAGGCTTGAGATCTGGATCCTTGGAGCCCATCCTTATTTAATCTGGGTTGTGTGAGCACTGCTATAGTATAGTCAGGTGCTATGTTACTTTTTTTTTTTTTTGGTGCCTTTAAGTCAGTATTGACTCTTGTTGACTGCCTGAACAAGTCCCTGTAGTTCTCTGGGGAAGATTTCAGAAGTGGTTTGCCACTGCCTGCTTCCTAGGGCTGCGAGTGATTGGCCCAAGGTCACCCAGCTGGCTTTGTGCCTAAGGCAGGACTAGAACTCATGGTCTCCTTAACCGCTACCAAACTGGCTTTCTTGCTATGTTATAGTGTAGATTATTGTAATGCTTGATTTTGATTATAGTTTTTATAAACTGCAGACCCATAGAAGATACAGAACATATATCAATACCTGCAGGTCTCCTATTATCCTTCGGCTCATCCCATGCAAACAAGATATTACTTCCTCCAACATACCAGTCATTTGCATCTATGTAAAACTTGCACTATAAAAAGGTGGGAGGGTTTAACAGGAATTTGCATACTCACTGATTTAGTACACCAATCTCAGACTACAGTAATTTCTAGCTCTGTATCTCCAAAGGACTTATGTTTGTTTCTGAAAAAAAATCAACTTTTTTTAATTTAAAAAAAGATATGCCAGACATTCAGAGGCATTACTTCTCTCCACAGCTGTACCAGACGTATCATTACAGGAATCCTATGTAATTGAAGAGCCATCCATGATCCAAATGCTTTCTTTTTAAGAGCACCATTTGGGGCCATATGAAAACTTGTAGACTCTTTCACTTATTTTGCCTTTATGTTTCCTATACTTTTTGATTAAACAAGAGCATGTATTTTATCCTCTACCTGTGAATGAATAATAGGTTTCGTATTAGAAGAAGGAAAATGCACATTAAGAAATGCATAAATGTGTTAAAACAAATGTGTAAAAAAAATTGTGTAGCTTGAGCACGAGGCTTTATTATTCGCAACCATTCTTGTTTACTCATATAAATCATACTGTGGTCAAGTTACTTGTGGTCACCATGCTTTCTTTTTATTATTTTAGGTTCATATTTTTAATGTTGTCTTCTCCTTTTTGTATTTCAAATTGGATGCTATCACTTCTAGGCAATGCAAACAGAGAATCATAGAATGTAAAGGTGGGATATTAGAATAATCTAATCCAACCCCCTGCCCGGTGCATCACTACTATAGCATCCATGACAGGTGCCAACCAGACTGTTTCACATCTGCAGCAAAAGAACATCCACCATTCCCTGTACTCATGCCTTTAATTTTACCTAACCAAGTGAAGGCCTTTGTATTTCTCCCAGTTTTTATCTTGTTAGAGTCTGCCATTATTCCAGTTGGTCAAGATCACTCTGAATCTTGATACTGTTCTGTATGGTGTTTGCTACACCTGTCTTCTTGTGTGTCCACAAATTTCTCTCATCATCCAAATTGTTTATAAATACAACGGTATGGGACCCTGTGGTATGCTACTTAAGTTTCCTTCCAGCTTGCTGTGGAAGCACTGACATACACTTTTTAGGTCTGAATGTTTAACCAGCAATAATTATAGTATAATCTAGCACCCATTTTGCCATCTTCATTAGGATCCAATGAGAGAATTGCTCAACTGCTTTACTTATATCAACATATAGTATGTCCACCATGCAATTAAACTGGTCACTCTATCAAAAAAAGAAAAGAAAAAAAGATTAAACTGGTTTGGTGTGACCTGTCCATTCCTTTGAAAATGTGTTATACCCTGCCCAACTTCTAAGAATACAGGTAGTCCCCAGGTTAAGAAGGCCCATTTATGGATGACCCATAGTTAAGAACGGAGCCTATTGTATCAAAATTCAAGTTAAATACACAATGATTCAAGTTAAATACATAATAGTCCACATTCATTACACAATACTACTTATACAGTATTATACAATAATACTGTTCTGGCTTACATACAAATTCGACTTAAGGACAGGCCGTGGAACGGAACTCGTTCTTAAACTAGGGACTACCTGCATAGTTAAAATGAAATGTAATAAAGACAGAGATAGATGGATTGACATTCAAAAAGTCCCATGGATCTGTATGTTAAATACAGTATTATACAATAATACTGTTCTGGCTTACATACAAATTCGACTTAAGGACAGGCCGTGGAACGGAACTCGTTCTTAAACTAGGGACTACCTGCATAGTTAAAATGAAATGTAATAAAGACAGAGATAGATGGATTGACATTCAAAAAGTCCCATGGATCTGTATGTTAAAGATTATGACCATGGAATTAATCTCATGAACGTTTAGCTGATTGATGTATTTGTGGTCATTTTTCAAATATTTAATTTTAAGCATACCTGACAGTACTTAAAATACTCTGTATTTGGAATTCAACTGAATCCATTAAATAGCAATCATGCAGTTTTACCATTTTCAGTGGCAAACATTTAAAAATAATTGTGTTAAGCAACTAACTTAAAAGGACTCCCTTCTGAAATCAAAACAACTGATTTGCATAGTTACTTTTCTTAAAAATATGCTTTAACCTTTATTCCATCCTCTAAAAAGCTAATTAAAAGCTTGTTATCCTTCTTTGTACCATTTTCAGATAGTGAATTTCTACCCCGCCATGAAAACAGCTGAATAATTTACCATAACTACCTTAATTTTATTGACAGAATGAAAACAATTGTTCCCTTAGTGAGATCTGTTTTCCAAACTGAAATCTTTGTAATTTATTTTAGTGGAGTAAAAGAAAAATAATAATTAAAAACAGCATCCAAATATTATTACATAATGTACAGGTAATGAAAAATACCCTACACATATCACACAGTGCACATCTTCTGCCTTTAAATAAGCTTCCTCCCAGGCAAGTGGGCTTAAAGACCACAACAAAAAGGGGTATTTTAAATAAATTTATCTGTCTGTACACATGTTGGGAAGAGCCAGCATTCATGCAGCATTTCTACATTACAGATACACATTTATTTTTCCTGGATGATTTTATGTTTTATTTACAAAATGTGAGAAAGAAATATTTTTTTAAAAAAAATGCATGACATTTCACTGAAAAGTTGCAAGAACCATTCTTCAGTTCATACAGTCATAATCAATCACCTTTACCCTTAGGTAAGAATGATTTTTCTAATGTGCTAATAAATTTTTGTCTCATCTGTGCTTTGAATTGCTGATACCATTCCATAAGCATTTTCCTCCTTTGAATCTTTTGTTGTAGAGTCATATTCTGCTCTTTTTCCAAAACAGCAGGAAGCTCTTTCCAGTTTTTAATAAAGATAAAGGGAGCTCCCATGGACTTTAGTAATTGCAGTGGTGCTCTGTGGTGCACAGATGAATTTCCACAATTGCCTGGTGTCATTACATCTTCTACCACAGGAACAGAGCCAAATGAACAAGCCTCATAGATTCTATAGCATTCGGTATTTACTCCCACTGGACATAACGTGAGATCGCTGTCTAACAATGCATCTTGATAGATTCTCAAACTCTCATTGGTTTCTTGAGGAGTCCACCTAAAACAGGACAACAAAGGCTGAAAATGCACTGTTGTTCATAGGTAAATAAAATGCATAAGAAAATATAAACATTCACAATCTATTTTCAGTACAACACGTCAGCGTAGTAGCTACAGCAACAATAGAAACGCCTAAAGATTAGGGACTGGACACTGCAAATCACTGCAATCTATTCAACTATTACTACTATTTACTTAGTAACTGGATTATATTTTTATAAGTTACCTTGGATTTAAGTAAAGCAAGTATCCTTTGACTTGAAATGGACTCCTAGTGATTTCTTGCACCCATTTTTGGTACTGCAGCAGCAAAAATAATGTGCTGTGCCCTTATCCAGGATGTCTTTTTGACTTCCCAGTTCTAGCCTTCCATGAAGGTCTCAAACCAAGTGCTTATTTAAGCCCAATTTTGTTTAGCTTCTGAGCCCATACTAAGTCGGCCAGATGCTGCCACTTGCTAAGGGATTCTAATGGTAAGTTAAAAGACATTTTCAGAAGATAATTCACAGAAACAAGGATTCTGATCCTCTAAGTCCCTCAATAGCAGAACTTCATTCTATTCCACACATTTAAATTTCACATGTAAACACAATGCCTATAGAATTTTTAAGAGGTATCACAGCTAGAACCATTAAAAACTTTCTTATCCCCAACAATCTTAGCTATTTTCCTCCATTACTATAAATAAGATTGCATTATATTGCTCCTGCAGTCAAGACAAACATCAATACAGTATTTTAATCTCTTAAAGGTTTTATGGTTACAATGATATTTCTTACTGTTCTCTGGCTGAAATCCAACAGAGCTTGTGAAGCCCACTTTGCATCAATACCTCCAATACGATTTCTCTAGTTGAATTCTTATAAACAGTTCCTAAGAAGTTACACTGATATGATCTTGGTCTTTGGAGCATTGACCAACTCGGTTCAACCACAGGAAAATGTCTGTAACTATAAACAAAGAATTGCATAAGCACACTAATTAGACTGAAAATGATACTTTATTAGGCCTCTTAGAGAGTACAATCCTATATGTATATGATCTGGCAATAACTGAAATCAGTGGCATTTATTTTTTAGTTGGACAACACAGGATTGCACTGTCTGTCATCTACTTTTTTCTCAGTTTGCATGAGCTCTATATCCCAAACTTCCTTATTCTTATTCATTGGTAGGGATCATCCTGACTTTGGGAGGGATGTATTCCATAGGGTAGGGCTCCTACAGAGAATGCCATTTTATGGAACCTTGTTCCCACTATGGTGGGAACCTACAGTACCCCCTCCCGGCTAGATATCGCTGGGTGGGCAGATTCCACTTGCAGCAAAGGGTCTTGAAGGTAATCAAGACCCGAGCTATAATGGGCTTTATAGATAATCACCAACACCCTAAATTGTGTCCTGAAGTCTACTGGCAATCAACACAACTCCTGCAAGATAGATGCTTTTCTATTAAACTATTAGTACCAGTTAATCGAAAGTCACATTCTGCAACAGTTGCCGCTTCCAGGTTTTCAAGGGGGCTCAATGGAGAATGGATTGCGGTAGTCTAACTGTGAGATGGCAAGGTATGAATAATTATCTTCAGAACTGCATGATCCAGGAAAAGTCATAGTTGGTGGCTAGTGAAAGCTGGTCAAAGGCTTCCCTATCTACAGCCTCCACTTGCAGAGTTTAGAATACCCTGAGCTTATGTACCTGTTCTATTGGACAGTGTTACCCTACATCTGAGGAGATTCACAGCAATATATGAACCTCCATAGATCCAGAAGGTGTTTGTACCAACAGAGTCTCAGTCTATTCCATCCCATCCAGTCCTTCACAGCAATATTAGTTGAAATAACACGAACTTTAAATGTATCTTATCTCCAATTCGTAAGTATATTAACTTAGACATGTCAACACACTTATTTCTTAACAGATATTTAGGAGCAGCTCCATACATTTAAACTTGTTTCTGGTTCTTAAGTATGAAAATTCTAACACAAAAGTTTAGTACTGAATTGTTGTTTATAAAACAGCAATTTCACAACTATTTAAATATTCAAACTATTTTCATGTTAATTTTATGTACCTGAATCTGGAGGAAAACTTTTCAAATTGCATACAAATTTTAAAACTCTTCTTTGATTGCATTCAACACTTACGTTGCTACTCCTAGAGGCCATTGAAAAATATCTTCTTCATTCACTATGGGGCTGTCGTAAACTAGAAAAAATCGTTCCACAAACCCTCCATAGGATTTTAAATAAGGATAAATCCATTCATTGTTGCACTGTTCATTCCCAAGCAACACAACAGCAACATGCTGCAGCTTGTGTGTTTGCACTAACGTTTGTGCATAATGTAGCCACTGAGTGGCGTAGGAGATCTTTCCTTCCTCTCTGCCATTCAGTATTAAGACGACAGTTTCAGATTCTACAGAGAAGTAACCAGGGACTACAGCTGGGCCTGTGATGAAACTGTGAACAACAAAGCACAAACACAAAAAAGTGTACAGGTGTGTGTGTGTGTTTACATACACAGAGATACATACACACAGATAGCCACTTTAAATAACAGTTGCCGCTTGTGTCTCACTGATGCTCAATGTAATTTTATTCTATTTTTTTTATGTGATATATAAAAGCACTCTACAACTTCTCCAACAGCAAAAGGGAATTACAAGGCTCCCTTTAATCTGTCAGTGTCAACCCTTAATGCAAAGTCTTAAAGCTCATTAAGCCAACAATATGGATGCGAAGTGAAAAGCAACTGTACAGGTATGTTATCACACAAATACTGAGACTACTACATGCTAAGGCTGCGGGGATTTCTGTTAGAATAGCAGTGTCTTTTTGCCCTGTTAGGTAGCAGCATTTAGCCAATCTTGGCTGATTTCAAAACATTAAGCAAGGCTGGACCTGATAAACTGAATGGGAGATTACTAGGAATTCCCAGAGCTATAAGGCTGCACTGAGAAACTGAAGAAATATCCTGCCTTTAATTTCAGTATACTTTGAACTAAATAGAGATTGAGCACCAAAAATGATTGTGGCGATAAAAACAATTTAACACATTTTATAAGTAAAATAATAAAGTATGCTGGATTTGCCAATATTCGTATAATGCATTTCAGTTTGCTCAAAATACATTGTATTAGTTTAATCTGAATTCAGTTCTGTGTATCTATCATAAGATCATATTTCCGAAAGCAAACTAGTAAGATAGAAACAAAAGAACTGTTTCAGTTTTAAATTTAAACCATACTACAATTTAAAAAGAATCTAATCAGTGCAATCAAAACTGAAGTAGCCAATGTTTTTCAGGAAGGAGAGCTGACTGATCAAGTAATTATGCCTACTGGCTATCCAATCAGTTCATCTTTCACAGAGACACATCCTTTCCCTTAGAACTATGGTATTATGTGCTCCAATCCCTAGGGCAGTGTTGTCCAAACTTGGCCACTTTAAGATGAGTGGACTTCAACTCC